AACTGTTTCGAATCACCGAGTACTGACTACCGAGTACCGAGTACCGAGTACCGAATCTCGGGTCTCGGTACTCGGTATTCGGTACTCGACACGATGCTCAAAACTCGTAAAACTGTTTCGAATCACCGAGTACTGACTACCGAGTACCGAGTACCGAATCTCGGGTCTCGGCACTCGGTAGTCAGTACTCGGTGATTCGAAACAGTTTACGAGTTTTGAGCATCGTGTCGAGTACCGTACCGAGTACCGAGACCCGAGATTCGGTACTCGGTACTTGGTAGTCAGTACTCGGTGATTGAAACAGTTTTACGAGTTTCGAGCATCGTGTCGAGTACCGAATACCGAGTACCGAGACCCGAGATTCGGTACTCGGTACTTGGTATTCGGTAGTCAGTACTTTCGAGTTTCGAATTTTGAGTTTTGTTTCCAATTTTGTCTCGCATGCCGAGTGCCGAATTCCGGGTGTCGGGTGTCAGTACTCGGTTCTCAGTACTCGGTACTCGGTGATTCGAGTCTAGAGACTTGTGACTTGTGATTTACAAATCGACATTTGAAACTTGTGATTCTGAGAACAATGTGTATTATCTTATGTATTTCTTGTACTCATTTCACGACTACCGAGTGCCGAATCTCGGGTCTCGGGTCTCGGTATTTCAAGACAACAAAAATGTATATCATCTTAAATTTGAATTTCTTAACTCGAGCCTTGAAACTCGTAAAAATGTACAATACCTAGGCCTATCTGTCTATATGATATGTATCTGGGCCCACCCGTCTATCTAATACATAATTCACCTCACCCTTGGCCCACCCGTCTATCTAATATTACCCGACGTCGGCCCCACCCATCTATGTAGAATTCCCCACGTCGGCCCCACCCGTCTATGTAATAAATAATTCCGCTCACCCTCGGCCCCACCCGTCTATCTAATATTACCCGATGTCGGCCCCACCCATCTATGTAGAATTCCCCACATCGGCCCACCCGTCTATCTAATATGACCCCATGTCGGCCCCACCCGTCTATGTAATAAATAATTCCCCTCACCCTCGGCCCACCCGTCTATCTGATATTACCCCACGTCGGCCCCACCCATCTATCTAATAAATAACTCACCTCACCCTCAGCCCACCCGTCTATCTAATATTACCCCACATCGGCCAACCCGTCTATGTAATAAATAATTCCCCTCACCCTCGGCCCACCCGTCTATCTGATATTACCCCACGTCGGCCCACCCGTCTATCTAATAAATATTTCACCGCTCCCTCGGCCCATCCGTCTACAAAATAATACTAATACGTCGGCCCACACATCTATATAATACTATTTGCTATACATCTCTCCTCAGGTCTATAATATATGTCAATCCTACTCTACATATTACCCACATGGGCCCACCCATCTCCATAATAATATTTCTCCCGGCCCATCCGCTATCGTCGATGATATATATAACATCAGCATAGATGGGCCCACCTGTCTCCATCGGAAATAATATGCCTCCCGGCCCACCCGTCAACATCGGGAATATACATAACATCGGCCCATAATCCGCTGGCCCGTATTACACGGGATATTATGTAGGTCGGGTGACCCGTATAATACGGGATTTGTCACTGAGGGGCTCATTACAGAAGGACAACAACTGGCAACTCACTCTCAAGCCACCTGATCGCACAAAGGATGCCGTCCCTTTGACACAAGATGATGGGACCACTGTTGGCCAGCAATGAGTGTCTTGGATTTGGAAGACGAGCGGTGTCTCGAACAATACAGAATATGGCCTACAGGACTGTGAGTATGACTAACCTGAATATGTTTTTGCTAATTCATTTGTCACAGCTTTGCGTGTTGAATGGTGTAAGGCCAGGGCACGAGCACATCAATGGGAAGAAGAAGTGCAGTTGCTGAATGAAGAAAGGAGGCAGGTGCTAGCTTTTTTTGACTGGCAAGCTCTCTAGTGGGAGGTGCAGAGCTCACACCGTGCTTTTGGGTCAATCGAGACTGCGGAAGGTGCAGTTGCATACGCACATCGCCAGGCTTCATTGCGGGCGAAGGTTGGCTTCCCATTTCAAGTCTATATGGGAAGGTATTTAAGCCTGGTAACATACTATCGTTTGTTTTTGCTATGTTTTCACTATGTTTTCCAATTCATTTCTTGTGCTTCGAGCATCTTAATTTAGGAACTAATATATGCAATGACATCTTCAATTCCCTGAGTGCCTAGGTCACTTCAGTCACTGAGAAGATCTGAATCGTGAAACGAGATCAAGCTGCAAGATTGTGATCACATCTATAAGCGGACAGGATGTATAGTACTGGTACAGATGATATATCATTATGGCCCGTGGTGGCCCGTGGTAAGCCACCGCCACTGATATAACATGGTCAGGTGTTAGTCAAAGTAATTGATATATAATACCCCCAGGATATTGTGCCTCAGCATCCTTACAACACACACAGTCTCCCTACACATCCCCCTCAATTCTACAACTACAGCACTAATCATGGTCACCCTCGTACTTAGATTCTACTAGATTATACTGTACTTGCTTGCTCACGCCGAATACTAACTCACTTCCTTGCGCTCCTGCTTGACTGCCGAGCTGACTTTGAAACTGGCTCAGTGACATGTCGTGACTTACTGTGACATTTGCGTGACTGCCGACTTCTGGGGGCTGCCGACTGCGTGTACCGTGATAGTAGCGTTCTGCAAATGGCTGTAAACTCCCAATGAACCCGAGGCTATCCGCTCGGCGGCTGCCGGACAATCGAAATTTGTGCTTCGTCCTTGTCTATGCTTAACCGATAGATCTTGTCTTAACTCAAATCTCTGTTTTCATTCAAAACAATACAGGGCACAATTTATATATATATTGAGTGCAAAAACGACCGAGTTAACCTCAGGTTCAAGCTAATGTCTGGCCGTGTTGTAATTTGAATCAGCAATCCATCGACAACAAACACCAGCAAACACCGTGGGGGGGTTCCCCGACTCCCACGATTAGTGGGAGGAGGGTTTTGTCAGACCACGGTGTGCAGGCACCTGTAACAAAAAATCTCAGCGTGAGAAAACGATGCCCTATTTGACTATGATGTTCCAGACCCTCCCTTTTCGTCAACAGTCAATTGTTTGAATACTTGCTATGTATCTTCTTCGCTCAAATGCCAAGCCCGGTTTCACTGTGATTTCCATGTCGGACACCTATTTGACTATGATGTTCCAGATCCCAATTTTGTCAACAAACCAATTGTTTGAACACTAGCTATGTATCTTCTTCACTCAAATGCCAAGCCCGGTTTCACTGTGATTTCCATGCGCATTCTGTCAGACTCGTCGACGCTCGGACTTCGACTACAATCACATGGGCATGGACTTCCTTAAAGTCTTGTGCGCTGTTTGACTAGGATGTTCCATCTGATCTGTCCTCTCCGCTGACGAGCATCCTTGCATGCACTCCTTCCTCCTTCTCGTTGTGTTTGTTGTGTTGATTCCCTCACAGTGTCTCACCTTCAACTCGCGTGTTGTCGCTGTGTTTGTTGAGTTTGTTCATTCCCTTGTGCTGTCTCTCGCTAAATTGGACTCACAGCTGTTGTCTTTTCATTCAATAATGCCTGCGTTTTTGTGCAAACGCCCCTCCACGATTTCTCGTGTGCTCGATGACAATGATTGCCCACCTCACAACCTTTTACATGATGCCACGTCCTATCCTTTATTTTACGATCCTCTGTACTATCCGAGTGCTCATCCTGCAGTATTCGCAACACATGATGGATTTTGTGCATGGCTGGAATCCTCACTTGTATCTCACATCAAGTCATGCTCGAAATGTTGTTTAGGTCTGCGCATCATTGCTGTTGGTTCAGACGCCCTAGATATTACTGTTTCTGTCGACGGTACCAACGTCTCGTTTTCTCCCGCCCACTTTGAGTCGGCTACTTACTGACATTGTAGTGTGTTTGAACGTCATCGGACATGTCATCGCCTCATCTCTGTGCAGACATGCCTGCTTTATTTCCTCGGTCGTGATTCCTCCCTGGTTCTCGTACCCCGTTGACCACTACCGCGAGGTTTTGTCTCTCTTCCCATTAACACTCTTCGCACGGTCGCTCGAACTTTAGGCTGTGATCGAGCCCAGACACGTGTCAAGGCTCTCACCATTGAAGTCTTTCTCCGTCATCTTGACGCAGCGCGTGTTGAATGTTCGCTATTGTCCAACAATGTAATTGCAGAAACGTATGGGTTATTATTTACCTCAGAATTGCCTTAAGTCCAGAGCCATGCATCTTTCTGCAGGGTTTATTCACATGTATGGCGCTGAAGTTGCTGCAGCCCTATGACGCTCCCTAATTGCTAACGTATCTAACGACAACGCAGCCACACGCACCTTCGATGACACCTTTGTGTCGTGGACCTCACTTCCTCTTGATGAATTAACTCGCCGGCTCGAGAGGCTGTCGAGGGACGACATTCACACTTGTATCCGAGGTTTACCCCAATCTCTACACAATCTCTACAGTTCGCGGTCACATCGCAAGTCTTGCAACGCTCTAGCTAATTTCGCTCGCCGGCGTGCAATGTACCTCGCACAAGCAGGTGTGGATATCTTGTGTACTATTTATCTTGCCCTTTTTCCATTTCCCACTACTCACGACCTTTCAACCAGGGATGTATTCCAAGCGGTTGTTCGTTGCGAATTGGGGAATATTGTCTTTGATCGCTTGTCGCAGGATATTGCCACGCGTTCGTCAATGGCCAAACGTTCACGTGCCGAAAATAAGCAGATTGCATTAACAGAAGCTAGAGACATCATCGTAACTCGGGAGCACCTCTGGCCATCTGTTGTTCCCCAGTCGGTCATACTCCAACGACTCAACGAGTATATGGACGCTACTGTCTGGACTGATCCGCCGATTTGCACTGTATGTTCACAATATGCTCGTGATGCGGTGGAGCATCCATTGACTGATTTATCAGGTCTCAGTCTCGAACTATTACGGTTGATAAGATGAACATCTCATCAGAAAATGTGTCGTTCAAGGTCTGTCTACTTGCTTTACATTTGGTCATGACCTCATTGATGGCCTTATGTTGGAACATCAAGGCATCGTTCGAGATTAGTATGCATGTAGTGGCTCTACGTATATGTCCCAAATGCAAGTCTGCATTGTCTCGAGGTCGCCTCCCTGCCCTTGCCCTCGCCAATGGATTGTTCCGCGGCCAACTTCCTGATCAATTCAGAGATTTGACTTGGGTTGAGGAGAAAGTGTGTGCTATTTATTCAATGACTGCACATGTCACACGGCTTTTTCAATCGACTGACCCTGCTCAGCCCCGTGTATTTCACGGAAATATGTGTGCTCATGACCTCAATGTCTTGTCAATGGCTACCACCCTGCCTCGTGCTCAGCTGATGTCAACGGCTTCACCAGTGTCGTTCTTATCGGTCCTGAAAAATTTGACCCTAAGCGCATGCGCTCCTTGTTTCGCGTGCGCAAACAGAAGAGATGGGATTTTCTGATATGGTTGAAGCACCACAATCATTTATATGCAGATATCCCACTGGACTCCTCCCTCATCGATCTGTATCCAGTGGATGGCATTCTTCCTGGCTTGCAACAAAGGGTTGTCGAGGACCATGAACTAGATGCACAGTTTGTATTCAACACGGAAACTGCAGGCTTTTCGGAACACCCTGCGTCCATGATACAAGCTTCTCCGTCTGACGTGGAAACTCATGCGGACTTGCAGGATGACTTGTCAATGGTCGAAAAGATGGGTGTTTCTGATCCGGAGAGTGCCAATGTTAGTGGCCGCCAGTTCACCGCATCCGCTTTGCGTAACTTGATTCCCGATTCAGCGCAGTCCCTGGAACCCAATCTTGTCATCCATCATGGTTCCAGTCCTGTGACTGATTACCATAACCCACGTCTGTTTCCTGGGCTGTATCCCACTCTCTACCCTTATGGTCTCGGAGGATTCGAGGACCATTCCCGCGTCACCCCTTTGTCTATCGAACGCCAAGCCAAATACTTTTTGAACTTATCTGACCGTGCCTTTCGTTATCACGATGCTTTCATCTTTGTTGTTTTGAACATCTTACAACATCGTCGCGCACATCTGCAGACACATTTCGCAGTGCGGAAAGTCCAACTTTGATTCGGTAGCTCGCAGTCTGACTAGTGTATCGTCCAATGTACTCAGAACCCTCGCAGATCGTCTCGAGCAGGAGTGCAAGGTCTCCAGTCTCACTCCAGAGGAGCAGAATGCATTCAAATTACTCCGGCAAGTAAATACCATGTCCACAGTATCCCAGGTTCACAGTCATCCAAGATATTTGTGAGGAATGAGATTCGAAATTATTTTGGTTATTTTGGCTTACCCCACATTTTCTTCACCTTTAACCCAAGTGCCGCCCACAGTCCAATATTTCAGGTCATGTATGGAGACCAGGCTGTGGACTTATCTGCCCACTTCCCCTTTGTTCCTCCGAGCCGTACACGCGCTATTCGTCTTGCGCATGATCCTGTTGCAGCCGCAGAATTTCTACGAGTTCTCGTTTAAGTGTCTCTTTTGTTATCTACTCGGGTGGGACTTCGATAAACAATGTGCACTCGATTCGGTGGAATTCTTGGCCACATTCGTGCATTTTATGGCACCAGCGAGTTCATGGAAAGAGGTGCTCTTCACGGTCACTTTCTGATATGGTTGGAAGGGGGTCTCAATCCCAGTGATCTGCATACACGTCTCCAGGGTGACACCGATTATCAAGCCAGATTTTTTTCGATTTTTTGAGGATGTCATACACCACCATTTGCCTGAAGTGGAGGACGTCATTGATCCCAGTTTCGAGCCCCGTGTTCAGCGCCCGCCATGACCTCCTTCATCTACAAACTCGACTGCGCGTGACTTAATTGAGTGGGAGGCCGTCCTTTCAACGGAGATTAAACGCTGTGGAGAAGCCCTTCAACGACATCAATGCCGTGCTGTCTGCCATAAGTACGGGAATGAAGGACGTTGTCGCTTCTTGTTCCCACACGAGATTGTTGACCATTCGTACTTTGATCCAGACACCAATTCTGTTGCCCTTCAGTGCCTCGATGGCACCATTAACTATTTCAATCCATATGTTCTAGTGTTTTGTAGACACAATCATGACATAAAATGTATCTTATCTGGCCAAAGGTGCTAAAGCTGCAATGTTCTATATATCAGACTACATAACCAAAATGGATGTAAAGACGTACGAGGTCCTGTCATTGCTCTCGCGTGGGTAGCTTGAATCCGGAAGATGACGAACAGCCTGATGCTGATACAGATGATGATGATGCACCGGAGCAGGTGCACCTTCGCATTTCCACGGACAACTCTGTCAATCTCGTAGAATCCAACCAAGTTCACAACTATGTCTATCGCGCAGATTCCCTGGCTGACATGAACTTTTACGATTTCTGTTGATGTGTCCGGTTTGAACACATCAGCAAGGATGCCAGTAGACGAGACTGGCTTGGTGTATACAAGAGACATCGTTTGACTGGAGACCATCCTTCCAGTGACACCCATGAGCTCGTAGAACATACGAACGATGCACGAGGAGATGGATATCATGAACTTGTGCCTCGCGTTGTTGGAATGTCAATCCCGCGTGCCACAGATGCCAAGCTCTGGGCCCTCTTCACTTTGGCCCATTTCAAACCTTTTAGTGCAGTGTCTCCTCTCTTGCGCAAAGGAGAAGATGCTACAGATGCATTTCGAACGTACATCTTCTCAACTCGAAGTCGTACAATCATGTCCAATTGGGAAGCTGTCCACGAGTGCGAGGATGAAAGAGACACTGACAGATTGTGTAAACAGGCCAGTGCCACTGCTGAAAGCAAAGCCCTCTCATCCTCCCTGGGTCTTGTCATCGACGACGATGAAATTGAACTTGATTCTCAACAAAGCCGTTCCCAGCGCTCTGAAGAAGATTTCCGTATCCAACAGATGGTACTCCTCCTCCAGCAATCCAAGTGGATTAGGGCCACCAGAGAGCGTAATGAGACATCCCATTCGGCTGACAGTGGTCTCGCAAGCATAGACAATTATCAGTTCGGCGACGCAAGCTACCTGAATGAACGTCTGAAACGATGGAAAACGGAGATCAAGCGCCAGGAGAACGCGGTGGCAGACACACACCGCAATGCTCTGAATCCAGAATGCCAGATAGCTCACCCGGTGCCTCTTACTGAAGCTACTGGAGGCCAAGTTCCATCTGGACCGTACAATAATACAAATAGCATTGTCCTTCCAACAGATTGTCCCGCTGCCGAATGTCAAGTCCCCATGTCAGATGTAACCAAGGCCCAAACACCAGAAGATGTGATTAACATGGTCTGCTCGCAATTCAGCCTCAATGAAAAGCAGTGGGTGGCTTTCAGAACCATTGCACGTTTCTTCATTGCGAAACATGTAGACAAGTCTCTCGCGCCAGAAAACACTCAACTTAGGATGCTGATGACTGGTCCTGGAGGGACAGGAAAGACACACGTAGTGAAAGCCGTACAGTCTGTTATGCAGCACTATGGATGTGGCCATCTGATTCGGTTTCTAGCCCCAACAGGCTCTGCTGCCTCCCTTATTGATGGAATGACTGTACACAAGGGTTTGGGGATCAAGATCAAATCTAACAAGAGCAAAGGCGATTGAGGCGTCGCAGACTATTCAGCTCTGATCAGTGTCCAAAACCGAGAGCAACTGCATGATGAGTGGAGGAACGTGGAATATCTATTGGTCGATGAAGTATCATTAGTCGGTTTGCAGCTCTTGGCCAAGATCGATCACGCACTACGATTCGCCAAAGAACGCCCAGACGAGTGGTTTGGTGGCATTGTCATCATCTTTTCAGGTGACTTCTATCAATTTCCTCCAGTTGGCGGCAGTCCTTTATACGCTCCCATCTCCATGTATGCAGGGCAGACTGATGAAGAGATTCAGAAGCGACTAGGACACCTCGTGTGGAAATCAGTCAACACCGTGGTCAATCTGACAGAACAGCAGCGCATGAAAGACGATCCAGAATTCGGGGATGCTGTCAGCCGCCTGCACAAACGGAGATGTTCAGAAGAAGATGTGGACCTGTTCAATTCCCGAGTGATTAAGTCCACAACTAACCTGCGGGGTATTGACATGGGTGAATCCCAGTACTCTGGAGCTGCCGCTATTGTTTCGACAAATGCCCTGAGGGAAGTGCTCAATGGACACAAGGCCGCCACTGCATGCCCTGAAACAAGCAAACTGGTTGTGTACTCAAGTTAAACGTCTCAGCATTAAAGTCGGCGACTCCATTGCCGGGACATGTGACCCTGTATGAGGGGATGCCTGTTATTCTTCGGCTCCGTAACCTGTCAACAGATTTAGGCATCACTAACGGTGCACAAGGGATTGTCCGCAAGATATGGACAGGAGTATGTCCCTCAGGCCTTACCTATGCATCCTGCGTGATCGTCCATTTCCCTGATAGCAAGGTCCAGCTCAGCGACCTTCCCATCGGACATCCAGCTCAGCGACCTTCCCATCGGACATTATCCCATTGTTCCTTCAACATGGAAGTTCACTACTACCCTGGGCACCGCACCCCCACAACAGGCCAAACTCCAAATCACCTGTCATCAGGTACCACTCCAGCCGGCATTCGCCGTGACCGCACACTCAGCGCAGGGCAAAACATTGCCTCAGGTGCTGGTCAATCTGCACGAGGGTGGCTTTGCTGCATATGTTGCAGTGTCGCGTGCGCGCAGTCGTCAAGGACTTTGTTTGACACATTCAGTGTCCATTGATCAGCTCAACAAATGAATTCCATTTGACCTTGCCTTTGAATCACGCCGTTTCCATGCATTGGAGCACAACACCCTTGTCTGACTTGGTTTGCGAGTGGGAGATCCTGTAGTAGTTCCAGATGCGGAGGGGGAACGACATCTGTTGCAATTGCCGATGTCAGTTGCTTTCAACACTGATCAGGCCCAACGGATGACGAACAAACGACCGGCAGGTGACTCCAATGCCACGGACGTGTACTCTCCGGGCACATCACACCAGACACCAAATGAGAATCTTGGCAGGAAACGACGGCGCCTTGCTGGCCAAGGCCCCAAACCACTGTCTGACATGAGGAGGGTGTCAAGATAAGACTGGTATGATTCGGCTAGTGGGTGTTAGTTGGGTCAACACGCCTGATTTGATATATTTGTTTCCACAGCTTGAAGGAGGACCATTGTCCTGCAATGGCAGATCACTGTCAAGCACTCTCTAAATGGGATGCTCAAGCCGCTGGCGGTGGTAAGCCATCAGCGTTTTTCAGTCCAGGATACAACCTTAAATGGTGCTGATTCCCTTTTTGGTTGGCAGCCTGCCCCTAATCCCTTGTTCACCACATCCATCACGGCTATGAGCTTCACTACAGAGGATTTCATATCAAAGTTGGAAGCTTTCCTCAGAGGAGGTGATGGAGGGAGCTCCCTGACCTCTAATGGACGTCATATCACCTTGCATGATTGGGAGAGAGTGGGACGCCGAGCATTAGCTAAAAGTCGAAGGGTACTCATTCCCACGTTCATGTGCGCCAGCCATCTATTTATCTGCAGCTGGGTGTTATAACATTGGCGTAGGCATGGCCCCATTTCGAGCGCTGAGAGGGCCTTGGTACAATATCCTCCTGAACATGAGTCAGTGGCGCCGTCTACGAGAAACACTTGCTTCTCAGACAACAAGCCTGGTGAGCAATAATGGGCCATCATCAAGGTGAGTTTGTGTGTCCAAAATGGAATCTGGCCTGATCTCGCACTATTCTCAGCAGATGGAAGATATACTGACGAAAGCAGGGCCAACCAATCTTTTTCGTTTCATCGTTAATCCTGCCAGCTTTGGGCAGTCTGTAGAAAATTTGTACTATATGTCGTTCTTGATCCGAGATGGTTTGTGCGCTGTTCACACTTCTGTTGATGGAGAGCCTATCATATGTGAGTGCTCTGGGTATTTCAGATGATCTACGTTGACTCTCACAGCCGCTACAGATGTGAACACTGAAAACCAGAGTGGATCACTGCACGAACAATGCCAGATAATCTGGGAGTTCGATATGGCTACGTGGGAGGTACATTGTGTCCCAATGCATTGATGTGACCCTCATGGAGCGATTCGACAGCGGGCCATTGATGTATTTGGCATTACCGACTGCATAATCCCTCACCGACCGTCTCGGACATGAAGGGATCGCTTGTGTCGGGGAAGACGCATTCATGTGGCTTCATAATGCTGACAATTGGGTCAGGGACCGGCTTGGATACAAATGAATTATTATCTAAATTGTTTTCAACCTCGATCAGTGAAACTCAAGTGAACCTTTTAATTAGTCTCCCCCCTGTTCACCGATCAGAATTGACACTCGTCTTTCACCTGAAATGGAGAAGTCCAGGTGCTTGATGTCCGATCAACCCCCTTTCCGAGTCGGCTTGTGCAGTAAGTTGCTAGCATTGTGAAACAAATTTCCAGAACTTACATTTGACAGCGATTGAAACCTCAACACAGGTCTGCGCAATCGGTCTCACTTTGCTCAATATCAAATGCGAGTCGACAGATATTTGCACCGCAGTGCATTGGGCATTGACCTTATTGCTCCTGAACAGGAGCGCGCTTGAAATCACAGAAAACTGGAGGACAGACAATCTGTACCGTTACTACTGCCTTCACCCACTCGTCCGCAACCAGATACACACACCACCAAACCATGACATCTGCCATGATGGCCATAAGCAATGTTTTCCAGGGCACAGGTGCCTTCGTATTTGGTGAGGCTCTTGTTACTGAGAGTTATACATTCGCTGAACAGATGTAGCCGAGCACCAACAGAGAGGTCCTCCCCTGTTCCACATTGTGTCAGCTGAAGACATCAGATCAACCCCGGCGCCACCTGGCAGACACAGACTGGCAGCTGGCATCCTCGTAGTAACTGACCATGCGTTGTCCCATCCTGATATGCTGAGTGGTATGTTGCGTCTGTCATGACAGGTTCAGGATATATCGCTCATCAGACACAGAGGCCATAGCTTTACTTGCCTACGACACAAACACACGCACGGTCCGCACAGAAAGTGTAGCTCTGGCAGAGTATCTCGTGGCCGAGGCCCGTGTGGCCTATCAGTGTCACTGCTTGACGGCCGAGGGTTGATGAGAATCC